CAGCGGGGCGAGAGATAGAGGGCCACGGCTGCCTCACCCCGCTCTCTCCTCGCAACCGCAGTACGGCGGCGTCGTCTACGCGGAGGACAGCGGTGCGGTCTCGATAAGCGGCTCGACCGTGTCGGGCTGCTCTGCTGGATATGTGCGCCGCGTAGAGCTAGCCGCCTCGAGCAGCGCCGCACGGCAGCGGGGCGAGAGATAGAGGGCCACGGCTGCCTCACCCCGCTCTCTCCTCGCAACCGCAGTACGGCGGCGTCGTCTACGCGTGGGGCAGCGGTGCGGTCTCGATAAGCGGCTCGGCCGTGACGGGCTGCTCTGCTGGCAATGTGCGCCGCGTAGAGCTAGCCGCCTCGAGCAGCGCCGCACGGCAGCGGGGCGAGAGACAGAGAGGGCCACGGCTGGCCTCACCCCGCTCTCTCCTCGCAACCGCAGTGGGGCGGCGTCGTCTACGCGCTTCAGAACAGCGGTGCGGTCTCGATAAGCAGCTCGAACGTGACGAGCTGCTCTGCTGGCTCGGTGCGCCGCGTAGAGCTAGCCGCACTCCTGCAGCGCCGCACGGCAGCGGGGCGAGAGATGTAGAGGGCCACGGCTGGCCTCACCCCGCTCTCTCCTCGCAACCGCAGACCGGCGGCGTCGTCTACGCGTGGGAAAGCGACTCTCTCTCCATCGCGGGTATCGCTTTCATCGACAACAGAGCGGGCGGGTCAGGCTCGGTGCTGTACCTGGACAGACTCCGCCAACGCTCCTCGATCAACGACGCCTCCTTCACCGGCAACACCGCTGGCGACGACAACGACGGTGCCACGATAGAGGCAGTCAACTCGCCGATAAACTGGGACTGCCGCTTGGGCAGCTGGATGCCGCGCAAGGGCTCCTTTTTTGGCGACTTCAGCGTTCCCGAGTGCAACCTCTGCCCTGCTGGCTACTACGGGAACAGGAGCGGCCTCACCAACTCCTCCTGCGAAGGTGCGTGTAAGCGAGGCCACTTTTGTCCAAAGGGCACAGCGGAACCGCTCCCGTGTGCGCCTGGTTTCTACATGCCCGTGATAGGCGCAGCCAGTGCCGAGTCGTGCCTCCCTTGCTCTCCGGGGACGAGCCAGTCCACAGCCGGCACGGACCGTCCCTGCGACGAGTGTCCTCCCGGCACGTTCGCCGATCAGCTCAACGCCACCAGCTGCACCGACTGCCCCGCGGGACGCTTCTGCCCGAATGCAGGCACCGTCCGGCCATTCGACTGTGACGCAGGGCAGTACCAGAACCTCACCGGCCAGGCTGCGTGTGTGCAGTGCCCTGCTGGCGAGTTTCAGACGGAGCGTGGGCAGACGTTGTGCGACTTGTGTGCCGCGGGTGGGTACTGCGATACCACCAAGGACTGCAGCGGCGGCTTCACGCTTTGCCCTGCGGGGAGCTACAACGAGAAGACGGGCAGCAGCTCACCCGACGCCTGCCAGCAGTGCCCCCTCGGAACCTCTAGCCCGATCGCCGGAGCAGTCAGCAGCGAGACGTGCGCGAACTGCCGTGCTGGGACGTTTGGCGGCAATCCCGGGCTGAGTGAGTGCACGGACTGCCCTGCCGGCAGTTATCAGAACGATACGGGCGCGACGTCCTGCCGCGACTGCGAGCAGGGCAGCTACTGCGCCAAGGGCGCGTCGGCGCCGCTGCCTTGCGACGCGGGTACCTACTCGGACAAGACGGACCTCACCGCCGCCTCGCAGTGCGTCGACGCCTCGCCGGGCCACTTTGCCACCACCGGCTCGACGCAGCAGACGCCGTGTCGCGAGGGTAGCTTCGCCGCCAAGGCGCGCAGCGAGGCCTGCGAGCTGTGCGGGCAGGGCTACTACCAGAGCGAGCCCGCCGCCGCCGCCTGCGTCCGCTGCGCTGCTGGCAAGTTTTGCCCTCAGGGTTCGACGCGCGAGTTTGACGCGCAGTGCTCGCCTGGCACGTACGCCAACGTGACGGACGCCGACGGCGACCCCGACTGCCTCGACTGCCCAGCCGGCTCGTCGTGCGCGGGAGGCGGCGCCGCGCCTGCCGTGTGCTCTCCAGGAACCGCAGCCAAGCCTGCTCAGGGCCAGTGCACCGTCTGCGGTGTTGGGACGTACCAGCCGGACTCCGGAGCCGCGGGCTGCCTCGAGTGCGAGCCGGGTACGTTTTGTCCAAAGGGAAGCAGCGCTCAGCTGCCCGCGACCTGCCCCGCCGGCTTCTACATCGGCAACGCGTCCACCACGCTGGAGAGCCTCGACGATTGCGTCGGTTGCACGCCTGGCAGCTTCTGCGCCGGCGGCGCCGCCCAGCCAACCGCTTGCGCTCCAGGTAGCATCGCTCCTTCGGCCAACATGTCCGCGTGCAAGCTCTGTTCGATCGGACGCTTCGCAGCCTCCACCACCGCTTGCGAGGAGTGCGAGGCGGGCACCTACGCGGCGAGCGAGGGCCTGTCGCAGTGTACCCCCTGCCCTTACCCTACCGGCTCCAAGAGTGGCGACGTCACCTGCTCCATCTGCAAGGAGGGCTTCTACCTGCAGAACGCGAGCGCCCTTCCGGATGACATCTTCCGCTTCCCGACCAAGCACTGCAAGTCCTGCCCGCTGAATGCCGACTGCGCGACCAATATCACTCTCGAGACCCTCGGCGTCCCGCGCAACCACTGGCGTGCCTCGCTCCTCACGACCGAGATTCACGACTGCGACGCCTCCGACCACTGCAGCGGCTCGGGCGGCGTGGCAGAGACCTCCCGCCGCCTCGCGGCTTCTGGCGGCGCCGGCCCAGGCTGCGACCCCGGCCACACCGGCCCGCTCTGCGAGTGGTGCGTGAGCGACGAGCAGTACTTCAGCCGCGCGGAGCGAGGCTGCGTCGACTGCCCGACGGCGGGAAGGTTCGGCGTCCTGGCGGGAGTCGTCGTCGCTCTCGCAGTGACAGGGCTCTTCTTGTACCGCGCCCTCGCCCGCGCCGAGGCATGGGACCGCTTCAGAGCACGTCTTGATATCGTCGAGTCGCAGGTTGGCGGGCCATCCACTGACCGGGCGCCTCTTGCCTCTCGCGTCGACACCACCCCACCTTACCTTAGGTTGGCTTCCAGCCCAAGTTCAAGATCGTGGTCAGCTTCTACCAGGTCGTTGCGACGCTCGGCCCCGTCTACGGCGTCCGCTTGCACGAGGACTTTACGCGCTGGACCGACTTCATGGACGCGATCAGCTTTGATCTGCTCGGCCTCACCTATCCGGACGCGTGCATCGGCTCGATGGCTGACAGGCTCCTGCTTGCCGGTCTGTGGCCGATCGCTTCTATCATGCTCGGAGGCGCCGCCATCGCCTGCTACGCACTCGCGGAGTGGCTTCTGTCTGGTCATGACGGAAGCGACCTCGTCCGCTCTACGCTGCGCCGCCTGCTCTACTGGGCCATCCTCGTCGCCTACCTCGTGCTGCCCTCCGTGTCTCGCTCCATCTTCAAGGCGCGGCAGTGCGAGTCGTTTAATGTCGACGACTTGACAGGGGACAGGCGCTCCTACCTCGTTGCCGACCTCGACGTGCTCTGCAGCGCCGACGACGACGAGTACAGCGGCCTCGACGCGTACTTCTGGGCCTTCTTCGCCCTCTGGCCGGTGCTCGTGCCGCTAGCCTTCCTGGTCCTCCTGCTCTCGATCCGCTCCGAGGTGCGGGCGCAGCGAGTCAGGGCCACGGCCCGAGCCAGCCGCTTCCTCTGGCGCGACTACGACCCGGGCTTCCTCTTCTGGGAGGTCGTCGATATGGGCCGCAAGTTGTTCCTCGCCTCGCTGGTGCTCTTCATCCAGACAGACGACGGCTCGAGCAAGCTACTCCGCCTTGTCGTCGCCACCGTCGTCTCGGCCCTCTACGCCGCCGCGCTTGCCCTCGCCAAGCCCTTCAAGCGCGACGACGACCTCTACCTCGCGAGCACCGCCAACCTGTTGCTCGCCTGCTGCTTCATCTCCGGCACCGTGATCCAGCTGTGCGAGAGCGCCGCCTACGAGGACATGTGCAAGACCCTCGTCGGCTTCGAGAGCGCGCGCGGCGCGAGTGAGTTTGTCATTGCGCTCACCGCCGCAATGCTCGCTACGTCGCTGCTCGTTGTCCTCTTCAAGACAGTCAGCGCCGTCCGCGCGCTCACCATCCGCCTCGTCTCCTCCGGCCGCCCCCCAGTCCTCGAGCTGTCCCCCGAATGCCACTTCCACGGCTTCATCTCGCACCTCTGGGGAACCGGCCAGGACCAGACGCACACCGTCGTGCGGCGGCTCCAGCTTCTGCTCCCCGGCGTCCGGATCTGGCTCGACGTCGACAATCTCGATGACGTGGGCAGGCTCGAGGAGTCAGTAGCCGACGCGACGACCTTTCTCGTCTTCCTCAGTGCGGGCTACTTCAAGAGCTTCAACTGTCGCCGCGAGCTGTACGCGGCGCTACACCTCAATCGGCCCTTCATCCCGATCCACGAGGCGGACGTGGACAAGGGCGGCGCCTCGATCGAGGACCTGAAGGCAGAGTGCCGCGACCACTGCGACAATGCCGCCCCAGACGAGAGAGAGAGACACATGCTCGCGCGCGTCTGCCCTTCCTACAGCGGGCCAGACGAGATGCTCGCGCGCGTGTTTGGGCAGGAGGCGGAGCCGCCGATCGTGTGGGTGCGGGGCAACGCCTTTCAGCTGGAGTCGCTCAAGGCTGTCGCGCTGCGCATGCTGCGCCACTCTCCTTACTACGCGAGCCGCCCGAACGAGCTTGCTGCAGGCCTGATGGTCCCTCGCCAACCGGGGCCCTGTGCCTTCAGCGGCCCCGTCACCATCCTCGTGTGCCGCGCTAACAAGCGAGCCATCGGCATTGCAAGGGAGCTCAAGAATGCGGCGGGGGAGGGGCGCGGCTCTACCGCCAGCGCCGGGGCGGTCGCGATCCGCGATGCGGAGGAGGCGCTCGAGGGACTCAACGCGGCCCCGCTATCCGGGCGCGTAGTGTTTCTCCTCTACCTGAACGATGAGACCTTCCTGGACACCGGCGGCGCCGTCGCGCGCCTCGTGCAAGCGGCGATGGTCCGGCGCATCGCCATCGCCATGGTCCACGAGCAGGAGCCAAGCCACGGCGGCGTTCCTTTCCGCAACTTTTTTCAGCAGACGCCGCAGGTGCTGCAGCAGCCGCCGTACAAGCTCTACGACAAGGTGGCTTTGCCGCTCTACCCGGCTCCGGCGCACCGCAAGGTGAGCTTGCGCCTCATACTAACAAGCATGGGAGCCGTGCCGTGCGATGCGGGTCCGCTCAGGCGGCGGTGGCAGCTGCTCCGCCGCCACATAGCGGTGGCGCGCCTCGTGTGGCGGCGCCCCGCCTCACGGGACTCTCTCGCCGAAGCAAGTCTCAGCCAGGAGCCCCAGCAAATGGTCCAGCCGTAGCGGTGCAATAATACGACGCGGGGCCGCTCCAGCGGCGGCGCCCGGCGGGAGCTCCTCCGCCGCCGCATAGCGGTGGCGCGCCCATCGTGCGGCGGCGCCCCGCCGAGCCGCGCGCAGGAGCGCTTTAGTGCAGCCGTAGGACGTGTGGTGAGAGCTTGCGCGCCCGAGCGTGCGCTCGCCGCGGGGTGGAGAGGGGACAACTAATAGTGAGCTTAGCACTCTCTTACAGTCTCTATAAGTCTTACGCTTTACGCATATTACAGCTCAGTGAGAAAGTCGTTGTATTACCGTGACGTGATCGCACCTCAACATTTCCGTACCTGACATAAACAAACAAGAAGGGCCAAGGCCGTTCTCAGTCAAGCTCGACCAACTGTGCCTTGACTGAGTCCTTGGCCGTCCGTGGGCGGCGCCCCTCTCCGCCGGCGGCAGCGGCGGCGCCTCGCCTCGGGGGCGGTCCGGGCCGCTGGTGCCCTCTGCCGCTCCTGCTCATGCCGCCCTCCTCTGCATCCTCCCCCCTCTCCTCCGCCTCCTCGTTGCCGGTGCCGCTCTCCCGCGCTCTCTCTCCCACCCTCGCCGCGCCGCCCCTGCCGCGCCGCCCTTTCCGCAGCCGGTGCGGCGTCGAGGGCGGTTGCAGCTGCTCCGCCTCGAGCGCCGCGTCGACCTCCTCGCTCGCGTTCGGCGCGCCGAGCCGGCGCGGAGCCCCTCTCCGCTCGCCACCCGTGAGCCGGCGAGCAGCGGCGCACCAGAGCGCGAACCACAACGGGAGGGAGATGATCGCCGCAGCTTCGGCCGGCGATGGGCCGGCGCTCTCGTCCGCAGCGCCGCCCGCGTGCCCCCCGCCAGCACCGGCAGCCTGCGCCCGCGGCGCCTCGGGGCGGCTCGCCCCTGGAAGGGGATTGTCCGTCGGCTCGTTCCAGCCGCACCAGTCGAAGAGCTGCTCGAGGTAGCCGCGCGACAAGACGAGCAGCCGCGACTGGGCGTCCGAGACGCCGTAGCCGACGAGCAGCTTCTCGGCGCGGCTCCCGTCTTGCAGGCCGGTGGGCGGGAGGGAGAGCGCGCTGGGGAAGGCCGTCGGGGGCAGAGGCAGCGCGCGCGAGACGGCCGTCACTCGAAAGGGAGGCGCCGACGCGAAGGTGTAGGCGAGGGTGGCGTAGTCGCCGGCGTCGTCCAGCGTGTGCATCAGCGCGAGGAAGGAGTCGTCGCTGTACCGCACCGCCGTGGCGGAGCCGTGGATTCGGAGGGAGCCTTCCCCCGCCAGGCGGTTGAGAGGCGGGAAGGAGGCCGTCGACCAGAGCCTCTCGCACATGCCGTCGCCGAGGCGGGAGAGGAGCACGGCGTGCGGGAAGAGCGAGTACACAAGGTGCAGCTGCGACCCCACCGTGAAGGCGATCCAGTTCTTCTCGGGCCGGTGAGCCTCGCCGCACTGCAACCGCACAGCGACGCCGCGGCCTGTCGAGGCGAGCCGCGCGCCGTCCCCGCTCAGGTACATCTGAGGCACCGCGTCCGCGTTGCTCGAGCGGCGCTCGCACGCCGGCCGGTGCTGCGTCGGCGGGCGGCTCGAGAAGAGGAGCGCGAAGGGGTCCGTGGCCGGAGTCGTGGCGGGAGAGGCGGAGGGCCGCCGCCTCGCCGCCGGCCCGAGGGCGAGCAGCTTCGGGTCCTCCGGCCCGTCGACCACAGAGCGGAGGAGGGTCCGGTTGGCGGGCACGTACCGAGGCGCCGCCTGGCAGAGGGGCGACCACGCCTGCCGCGCCGCGCTCAGGCTGGCGACAGGACCAACGCGCCGCAGCGGAGGGAGCGAGGAGAGGCCCCACGAGGGCACCTAGTTCCCACAGTTGATGATCGATTCATCACTAACCATTGTCAGGTAGGAGGGGCCCCACGGCGGCACCTCCCACCCGTGCCACGCCTCTGCACTCCCCACCGCCTCGGACGCCTCGAGGACGATGTCCGAGTGCCACGTGGTCGTGAGCTGCGTCACCTCCTCCCCCGACCACAGCCCGCGCTGCGAGGAGCACGCCGTGCCGTGGAGCCGCGCGGCGCGGACGAGAGTGGCGCGGCTGCGGTTGGGCCCTCCACCCACCCACAGCAGGCTCGGGTTGATGAGCCGCCGCCCGCCCTCCGACCCGCCACCCTCGACGCTCCAGTTGAGCGCCACGTCCACCGCGCCGCCGTGCCGCAAGACCACAACGGGTGGAGGCAGCGGCGGCGGCGGTCCGGGCGGCGGGCAAGCCGGAGGAGGCGAGGCGCCCCGCCCCGCCGCCCAGGGCCTCTGCCGCACCGAGGCGTCGAGCTGCGCCGCGGCGCAGAGGAGCGCCGCGACAGCGAAAGGGGCGGCGGCGCGAGCGGGGCCGCTGAGCCGCACCCAGAGCTGCGCGGCGGGCCGCGTGATGAGGCGCGCGCAGAGGTACGAGAGGGGGAGCAGGAGGAGGAAGAAGAGGGCGAGGTCGACCAGCCCGAGCCGCGGCGTGGGCCACGCGGCGATGACGAGCATGTGCACCACGTACTGCGCGTAGGCGACCTCGCCCAAGCTGCGGTCTAGCGCGCGGCTGCAGAGCCTCGCCAGCGGGTCGGGCGGGAGGGCGGAGGCGGGCGCGGCGTGGGAGGTGCAGAGGCCGAAGAGGAGGAGGCCCTGCAGCGGGAGGAGGACCGACAGGCGCGCGGAGAGCTTGAAGCCGACCGGGCGCAGCGCGGGCAGGCTGAAGAGGAGCAGCAAGCCAGTGAGGCCGACCGAGGCGCCGTGGGAGGCGGCAGCAGCGACCAGCCGGCGGAGCGGCGCCGACCCTGACTCGCCTCGAGCGGCGTCGGCGGCGAGCGCGAGCTGGCGCGTGCGGGCGAGGCACATGCCGTACACAAAGACGTGGAGGTAGCACAGGGGGTGGAACTTGAGGAAAGCCACCGCGAGGTCGAGACTAGTGCCGCTCGCCCCCGTCCGGTGCGCGCGGTACCACTCGGGGTCGCCACCGAGGCAGGCGGGGAAGGCGACGGCGAGCCAGGGCAGCGAGGAGCAGAGGAGGAGGAGGGCGCACGCGCGCTCGAGGCTCGTGACGGTGCGCTCGAGGAGGCGGCAGGCGGGGCCGAAGGCGAGCCAGAAGGCGAGAAGGGCAGAGAGGAACCAGCAGTGCACCTGGCACGAGCGGGTACCCCGACGGTGGCTCGAGAGGACCCGAGACTGGGTGGGAGAAAGGGGGGGGGCGGGGGGGGAAGTGGACCTGCACGGTCCGTTCGGGCAGCGCCGGGTGCCAGCTCTGCACGAGGAAGCTCTGCGCGGCGAGCTCGTACCTGTGTGTTCACAGGACCGCACAGTGTGAAGAGATGCCCGTCGCGGCTCGAGGCTCCGCGCAGGCAGCGCCCACCACTCTGGGAGCTGCCTGCCCTGGCCGACGCGGAGCAGCAGGGCCGCAGCGAGGCCGGCAGAGTACAGGGGGTAGATGGTGGCGGCGCGCTTGGCGACGAAGCCCGCCGCGCTGTCTGGCTGCTTGGAGGAGGACAGCCGCGCGTGCGTCAGGACGAGGCCTGCGAGCATGAAGAAGAAGGGGACCCACGAGAAGCCCCACGAGCTGAGGTAGTCTCGCCCTAACACACGAGCAGAGGTCCCCTTCTTTTACATACCTAACACACGAGCAGACGTCGTCTCGCGCGCCCGACGGGACGAGCCGCTGCGACTGGTAGAGATGGCCGAGGACGATGTGGACGCTAGCGAGCATGCGAGCCGCCCCGAGGCCGGGCAGCCAGCCGCTGCCTTGGCGAGGCCACGGCGCGAGAGGGCGGCCCACCAGCGCCGACCGCTCGGTCGCTGGAGGCGAGGGCGCGCCCGCCTCGGACGGGCCGAGCAGCGCGCACAGCGCCAGCGCTGCGGCCGCGAGGCCAACGGCCCCCGCTCTCGCGTACGGTCCTGCCGGCCACCGCGACGCCGCCTCCCGGCTCGGCTCCTTCGGACCTGGCGGCGGCGTGGCGCGCTCCCTCTTCCGCCGCTCGGCGATCGCCCTCGCCTCCTCCAGCAGCCTCGCTGGGCAGCGCGGCAGTGAGGGAGCCGACGGCGGTGCCGCAGGGGAGGTGGAGCCGCCCTCGCCGCCCTCGCCGCCCTCGCCGCCCTCGCCGCCCTCGCCGCCCTCGCCGCCCTCGCCGCCCTCGCCGCCCTCCGCCGCCGCGGCATGCGGCCCTCGCCGCTCGAATCGGCACGGCCGGAACTGGGCGCACTCAAAGTCCCGACACTCGAACGAGTCGGTGGCGCAGACGCGGTCGTAAAAGGCGCACCCGCAGTCCTCGCAGCCCATGCGGACAGTCGAGGCGCCGCCGACGACGGCCTAGGAGCATCGCAACTTAGCTTCAAGATCCGACCTCTCTAGCTAGAATGTGCACGCCCAAGCGACGGCGGCTGCCTTGCACGCCGGTGCGAAAGACGCCTCCTCTGGGCAGCCGGCCAGCCGCAGCAGCGCACGCGCCTGCGGGAGGGCGTTGAGGAGCCCCCACGCGAGCCAGAGGTGGAGGAGCGGCGACATGTGGCCCTCGAGCACCTCGTCCGGCCGCGACAGACCGAGGCCGTACACGTCCGCCACCTGACCCAGGGTGACGGACCGCACAATGAGAGCCATCGCTGGCTGGAGAGCTCGAGGCCGCATGCACGTCTGCCGCACCCGCAGCGAGAGCGCGGCGGTGGGCGGGAGCGCCGCCGCCGCTCGCGGCACCTAATCGCTCGGGCGTGGATGATCGAGGTCAGACCCTGCAAGTCAACTAGTCAGGTTGCCTGCCGCCACTTCTCGTGCTCGCGGCGCCTCGTCCCGCACGGCCGCGTTGATAGCGGCGATGCGCTCGAAGCTCCAGTAGTGGGGCAGCGCCTGCAGGAAGGTTCCGCGAAGGGTCTCACGCAAGGCTGGTGACGCGGGAAGAGCTACAGGGGTGCGGCAGCACCGTCAGCGTGCCAACGAAGACCGTGCAGGGGAGAGGCAGGCCGCCACCTCCACCTCCCGCCCCGCCGCCGCCGCAGAGCGCGGCGTCCGCCTCGCGCAGAAACGCGCGCAGCTCGGCGACGAAGGCGTCCTTCATCGGCGCGGGCCCGAGCTTGAGCAAGTCTTGCCGCTCGTCGCACCTGTTGTGTGTTGAAGGAGAGAGGGGGGGAGGGGGGGGGGGGGAGGGGGTCAGACCGTGCTTGTTCGGTGCGAGCCTTGAGCGGGGACAGGCCGCTCGCACCACATGTTCATGCCACAGTAGTCGTACGCGAGGCCGACCTGCGAGGACGCAATCTGCGGGTGATCTCGCCGGTGACGAAAGCCGGTGATGATCTCGGGCTGATCTCGGGTGTTCATCTCGGGAGATCTCGGGCGATCTCGGCCGATCTCGGGCGATCTCGGGCGATCTCGGGCGATCTCGGGCGATCTCGGG